ATTAGCCGATAGATCAGGAGTGAGGTCGAAGGCGAAAAGAGTATAACCAGCAGGATAATCTTCTCTGGATATAGAATTAGTTTCGTTCAAAAAGTGAATACCCGTTCCCGAGAAAAGGATGTGATACGCCTCGGAGTAGAGCATCTCGTTACCAGAGAATTTTGGCTGTAACAGCCTGCTGGGGATTTGAGTTCCATCGACATACAGTGAAAAGAAATTTATTCCGTAATGCTGGAAGTTGAACGGATTTAAATGTCGGGCACCGTTAAATGCTTTGTTATCGACAAAACCGACAATTATATGCTTCAGTATTTGTCCAAGAATGACGTTGTCCAGTGTTTCTCCTACGACGCCACTGTGAATTGTGAATGATTTAACTTCGACTCTTGTGAGAGGGTATTTAGCAGTAGTCCTGGTCAACATTTTCGTATGAGCGAATAATATGCCTGAATTTATTCTAACTTTTCTGATGAGTAGTGTAGCATCTAAAATGCGTATCCGTGACATAGTATTTCTCTCCATAAGACAGAAGAAATCTTTTGAACGAACAAGCCTCATGCGTACTTCGACACCATTGATCAAAAATTTATCTTGATTGAAGACATCGCAGTGAAGATGACCTACGAGATCCAGCGTTCGCCCTCCTTGTACAAAAGCGGCTCGCTTGTCGAGTCCGTGATTGCATGGTGTCGCTCTAGGTAGAGCGTCCATGTTCCCCGCCGTATCGTTGTACCACAGGCACGAAGCCAGGTGGGGGGTTTTTACTGGTGAAGCATAATTAATAACGCCTCTATGTAAGCGCGGTAAGCATAAGCATTGTTTGGAGGAGGCACGAACTTTTGGTTGAAATACACGTCGATTTGATTGAACATCGAATGCAGTGTATGGTTTACTGGGCCTACTTTTGCGACACCGGCTCCTGCTCCAGTTTCCGTTTCTACTCGTATGTGTAGCGACAGCATGGTGTGAGCAAGATCTATGTATTCTTCTCGCTGCCCGGGTACGACGAATTCTATGGGTACGTCGTCCGTGAGAGAAGACACGGGTTTGTAGTGAATCCATTGTGAACTCTCAATGCTGGTTTGTGTAGGTGGCAGGGTGAAGAGATCGAGTTCACTCTTTAAACATTCGCAGGAATGCGTATGAAGAGAGGACATGCTTCGAAAGCACGCGTTTGTTGCTGTTTAGAAAAAAAATGTCCGACCCGGTACGCTTCTTGATAACTCTCCGACGTTTAGCAAGTCCTCTTCCGCTTTCCTTCACTTCTTCGCCAGCTTTTTCGCTAGCTTCTTACCCTGTTTTTTCCCCTGTACGTTTCTTCGAGTCATTTTCCTCTTACTTGATTTAGAAGTGTTGACTCGACGTTTGGGTGCAGATGATTTGCCGCTGTATCCGCTTAGGGTGACGAAAGGAAACTGAGTTTTCCGATGTTCGTAGGAGTTTTATATCCAGACCCCTCTATCAGTTTGTTAATGTGTTCTTCCGCTCTTCTTTTGAGATTTGAGCCTGATTCCTTGAGGCATGTTTTAACAGCTGCTTTCAACGGCCTGTTATTCTCCACGTCATCGAGTATATTAATCCCTGCGCGTAGAGCTTCTTTTCCAACAACACGCGCACTACTGGCCAGATAAGGTAACACACCTGAACAGACCACCGAGAATACTGCCAATACCACAACCACGCTGATACTGCGATCCTACAAAATCTCGCAGAATTTCACCGCCGCGACTTCCCCCGGATTGTGCTTCGTAATACTCTAAATAATGTGCCATATCATGCTAATCACGACGTCTGAATTGTAATGTAACTGTCAACGTCCCAAATTCAAATGGTATTCTTTCGCCAACTTGATCTCTTATATCTATTTCGATCGTACGGAAACATGTTAACCGTAATGGAATATAATTCGGAGGTGAAAAATGCTTCACCATATTACGGCCGTAGGTATATGTTACGTCCTGCAGATTTAACTAACAAAATTGTCTTTTCCTCTTGCGGATTTATATTCTCCTAATATAACTATAATAGGAATATATATATATATATATAAATTAAGAAACAGACCCATCTGGCGAACAGCCGTCGCGCCAAATGAAAGGCGATTCGGGAAAAATTTCATAACAGGAAACAGTGCCCTGTTGTAAAAATTTACACGTCTTCGTTTAAAGTTTATATCTTGGTAGTGTTCGCCAAGTGTGTCCGTCGTCCTAGCTATAAAAATTTGAAACTCCGCGCTAAGAAACCTTCAGTAAAACAAAGCAACTCAGAGCATTCCTGCTCTAAAACTTGAAACTTACATCTTCCCAATCCAAAACCATATATGCCCTATCAGTTTACCAACAAAGTTTACTTCACTGATAGTCGTAAAATCTGATCTCAGCCTTTGATTTACGGCATTTTGATTTTTCCAGCCGGCCACTTGTATACATTTCTCTATCTCAAGAATCCACCACCTCCACGCTTGTCGCGCCTAATCCATTCAGCCAATCATATCCACATAAAACTATGAGACACCCACGCTCCATCCTTTAGCCCTTTCACATTCATATCTCCAAAAACTAACTGTCTTCTCCCACGATGTCTTTTAACTTCGCTAATGGCTAAGACTTTTTCTCACTACTATCAACCAGGACCAATAATAAAAATTAGTAACAAAATCTTTAACTTCATTGGGTTCTCGTTAGGGCTTCACCTCTCCCTAAAAGGGCCATCTCTCTCTCCACCCTGATAGCTTCTGCCTCCGATCATTGATATAAAAACCGCGATAATCCGCCTCCGCGAACAGAAGAACATACGAAAACGAAAAAGTCGTACTCAGATTCGGACTCAGGTCTAGACTCAATTCAGATATTCAGATTTTGATAAGTGTGGCTCAAGTGTGGCAAGTGCACAGTGTTCCACGAATACTATTCTTAGTGGGGTCTCGCCAACCTTCCAAAAACAAACAAAAAAAGAGAAGTAGCTGCCAGTTGGAAGTGGACAACCCGAAATTGAGACCCCACGCAGACTATTTCAACCACTCCTTTCCTTGCGTGAATCAGCAGTAAGTAGTTTTATTTACTATTCTACCCTCCTTACCTCCATTCTTACTAATTCCACCCTTGTGGAACTACGGTTTTAGTGGGCCATTACTATCATTCACTAGTAACCATCCATCGGGTCCTCCACCTCTTTGACGAGATAACAGACCCATACAATTTTGATCAACAATTCCAGTATATCAGAAACATAATTAGCATCGGATTAGATATAGATTTCCACCCAGACCCGACAATCTTACCTCCTTTCCTATTTTCTCAATATTTATCCCCTGATACTCCTACCTCTTCTCCCCCACGTGCACCCACTCCTTCCACCCCTCCAATATCTTATTCTCCTGTCTCTTTTTCCGAACTATCCACTCCTCTAAATTCGCCAAACCTCTCTCGTTCCCCCTCACTTGACTAGTTTTCCTATATTAATCTCTCTATCTTTTCCTTCCCTCTTCTACCCTGGATTATCCGCACATACACATACACATACACACCATCACTTAAGCAAATTATAATAAACCGCGCCGTAATCTTATTTATTGTAATACTTCAAACCGCGCCGTAATATTATTTATTGTAATACTTCAAACCGCGCCGTAATCTTATTTATTGTAATATTTCAAACCGCACCGTATACGATTTCGTTGTCATTTATATTTAAATAAATTTGCTATTAATTTATTTCCATTAATTGATTTCAAAATCACACCCACCCTTCCAACAGTCAACTCATAGTCCTGTCCCCGGTAAAGGGATTCGCGTCCCTGATCGAAAAACGGACCGCTCGTCGTACGTCGGTGCCCGAATACAGGGACCCGTCAGGTTCCTGACCCGTTTACTGGCACGCGGTTACGAACGAGGTTCGCCTTACGGAAAGTTGCGCTCCTCCTCCAGGACGTAACACATATTTACCGTTGTATTCGACGGGGACTACACGGAGAAGAGGAGAATACACGTCTTCCGTTAAATAGGACTCACAAATGTCGCAATAAACAAAGAGTTTATCGGGTACACACCGCACCGCACTGGTTCGTCGGACATAAGTTCACGTTTCGACATGATGAAAGAGTAAAACCGTCCTTCTCCAACTTTCTGGGGACTCACATTACGATCAGTATTATGATAGTACGTTATACATCCCTGCATAATTTTCGGCAAGTTGAGATGAATGAATTCCTCGTTCGGTCTATACAGACGCGAGAATTCAGAATTATTAAAATAGAGAATTATTCTTGTTTAAAGCGTGAGCGAGTTGTGCTGTAAATGTTAAAGCTTTTTAGTCGTTACGCGGGTGTTTTCATTTACCTGAGTGCAAGCGCGAGTGCGAGAGTGAGCGCAACATTTTGGGGGCTCGTCCGGGATCGTAACGAGAAACGATCGGGATTGCAACGTGAATCATCGCGACACGAGCCGCGAATGAAAAATGACAACCGAAGCAAGAGGTTACGCGGTACCTAGCCGACGGAAACGGATTCGCTCAATTGAGCCGGAAGCGACGGGGACGGAGGCGGCAAGCTTCGGAACGTCGGAGATGTCGGTACTGCAGGATGTGCTCCAAGAGATCCGAGCAATGAGAGAGGAACGAGAGGAGATAGGAGCTTCTTGAGTTGCGACGTTGGAGGAGGACGGAGGAGCAAGGACAAGGGAACCCGATAAGAGGCGTGGGCAGGAAAATCCAGGCCAGTGCAATTCTATCTCTTTAAAATTACAACCTGATATTTTTGATGGAACTGAACCGTTTTATGAGTATGTCGCGCAGTTTGAATTAATTGCGCGAGCAAATGCGTGGTCGGAAGGAGAAAAAGCATTAGTTTTCGCGGCTAATCTTAGGGGAAAGGCGCATTCGGTTCTCAATGGTGTAGGTGAAAATTTAAATTATGAGGAAATGAAATCGAAATTAGAATTACGATTCGGGGAATAATTTTGTTTTGTTTTCAGAATTATTATTATCAACTAACTAATAGGAAAATGAAATTCGGTGAAGATTACGCGACATTTGGGCATGAGTTGGAAAGATTAGCTCGTTTAGTTTATCCCGAATGTTCGTTTGAGGTGCGGGATAAAATTGCTTGTGCGCAATTCATTATGGAAATGCCTGAGGGGTTTGTGAAACGCACTTTACAGTTAGAGGGAATTTCTTTAAATTTAGCAATAGAGCGGGCGAAGATACTGCGAACAATTTCAGGAGGGGATTTTTCGCAAAAACGACGAGAGAATGGGGAAATGCTTTCGGGAACACGAAAATTGCAGTATGAAAATTCGAAGGGAGAAAAGGATTTTTCAAGAAGAGAAAAGGGAAATTCTCTCAGAGGGAAGGGACAAAATAAGGAATGTTGGCAATGCGGAAATATAGGACATTTTCGTGCGGACTGTCCAACTTTTGTAAATCAGCGCCCAAAATAGAAATTGCCGAATGGAACAGGGTCGATTTGGCAAATGCAAGTAAAACCCCGATTAAAAATAAGTTTAGATTTAGTCGTGCAACAGATATTTTTTGTTTTTCAGGAAAGATAGATGAAAGGCCTTGTAGATTTAAGGTAGATACGGGTTCGGATGTTTCAATTGTTAGCAGAAGACTTGTAGAACCTGTAACAATACAATATCGTTACTAATCGGGCCACGCGAAATGCATGTCGACCCCGGGTCACGCACCCTGCGCCGGGTACAAGCGAGCAGACGGAGTAGCAAGCGAGCGAAAAGAACCGCGAGCGAGAAAACAAAGGAGCGAGCGAGAAAACAAAGGAGCGAGCAAGCACGCGGCGCGCGCGTGGAGGCAAGGACCGCCTCGGCGCGTGCGGCATGCGGCCGTCACGTATATTCCATGCCACGGAATACGGGAGGGGAACGATCCGGAGTCGTATGGGCGGCCGATATAAGGCGCCATGTGACTCGCTAGAGACACCTTTTCCTTCCGACGTCTCGTCGCAGATAGACGAGTCGTCGTCCAGCCCGAGAGTTCTCCGGCAGAATAGCGAGTGTACTCGTGATTTCCAAGGGCGAGAGTCCTCGTCGTTCCTGACACGAGCGTACTCGTGAATACCGAGGCGAGAGTCCTCGCCGTTCCTGACACGGGAGTACTCGTGAATACCGAGGCGAGAGTCCTCGCCGTTCCTGACACGAGCGTACTCGTGAGTACCGAGGCGAGAGTCCTTGCCGTTCCTGACACGAGCGTACTCATGAATACCGAGGCGAGAGTCCTCGCCATTCCTGACACGAGCGTACTCGTGAGTACCGAGGCGAGAGTCCTTGCCGTTCCGGACACGAGCGTACTCATGAATACCGAGGCGAGAGTCCTCGCCGTTCCTGGCACGAGCGTACTCGTGAATACTGAGGCGAGAGTCCTCGCCGTTCCGGACACGAGTGTACTCGTGAATACCGAGGCGAGAGTCCTCGCTGTTCCTGACACGAGCGTACTCGTGAATACCGAGGCGAGAGTCCTCGCCGTTCCTGACACGAGCATACTCGTGAATACCGAGGCGAGAGTCCTCGCCGCTCCTGACACGAGCGTACTCGTGATTTACCGGGAGTGAGATTCCTCGCCGCTCAGCGGGACTGATATTAGGGGCGGAAGCCCCAGCGACCGAACGATTTCACACGCGCGACGATTTTGGGCGTCACGGGAACACGAAGGCGGAATCCCGACGACGGGCACGACGGCCCGCCTGAGCGCAGAAACGCGAACAAACGAGCGAGCGATCTCCGTACGGACGCGACCGCCGTGTCGTCACGACAGGAAGTCGTGCGACCCTGGTCAAGCGACCCGTTTGCGCAACAACTCACCGCTGCCGCCTCGGCCGACCTCGGCATCTTATATGTTACTACATCCCTTGTTTTGTTTAATAAAAACATTATTAACACGCAAGCAAACGCATAAATTGAGCACGATCCCTTCCTTCCTCTGGGTTCCGACGGGCCGGATCTCGGCGGAGCCCGATTCTGCATCGTAAGCAGGAAGGACTCGCGAGGACGTACGTCAGGCGTCACAAACCTTTGAGAAAAGTGATTAAAATGGAAAATGGTTATTTTTCTTATCCTACGGGAGAGATAGTTCCTATTCAAAGTAAGGTGGTTGTTACCGTGGAATTAGAAAATTTGTATCGACTCTTTTGACGTTTGTTGCTAATATTAATGATGAATATATTCTTGGGGCGGATTTTCTTTCAGCGACAGATGCTGAATCAAGTCTGAAGTTTGTGCTGGGAATTCAGACATTAAATGAATCTAGGGAAGAGTTTTATTGTTCGCGTGTGAATTTTGTTACGCAAGTTCCTGATTTTCTTTTGGAATTGTTTGAACATGATTCAAAGAATTTAGAATTTGAGCAAAAAGTAAAATTTGCTGAACTATTAATTGAATTTCAAGATATATTTTCTGAAGAAATTGTTGCAGGGGATTGTAAGATGATGGGACATAAGATTGAATTGTTGGATCCTCGCCCGATTAAGCAGCTTCTTCGTCGTATTCCTCTTCAATATCGTTCGGAGGTTGATGGAATTATTAAAGAGATGCTAGAAAAAGGAGTGATTAAGAAGTCACGGAGTCCTTGGGTTTCTCCTGCTGTGATGGTTAAAAAAAAGATGGAACTTTACGATTTTGTGTCGATTATAGAAAGTTGAATGCTGTAACAGTTAAGGATTCATATCCGATACCACGTATTGATGATACCCTGAATCGATTAGCGGGAAACGTTTGGTTTTCTACGTTGGATTTGAAAAGTGGGTATTGGCAAGTGAAAATTCGTTCAGAGGATAAAGAAAAAACAGCGTTTTCTATCGGTAAAGGTTTATGGCAGTTTATTGTTTTACCTTTTGGACTTTGCAATGCGCCAGCGACTTTCGAACGATTGATGGAACAAGTTTTAGGGGAGTTGTTGTCCAAGATTTGTTTAGTATATTTAGGTGATGTTATTATTTTTAGCAAAACATTTGAGGAAATGATTCAAAATCTAAGGGCTATATTTTTATGTTTTCGGGATGCTGGATTGAGTTTGAATCCGAAGAAGTGTTCTCTTTTAGGTAAAACTGTTAAATATTTGGGCCATATTATCTCTGAGAAGGGAGTGACGACTGATCCGGAGAAAATTGATGCAGCCAGGGAATGGCCAGTTCCTCGAACAAAAAAGCAACTTCGTAATTTTTTAGGATTTTGCTCATAGTATCGAAAATTTATTAGGGGATTTTCTTTAATGGCAAAACCTCTGTATTCTTTGACAGAGAATCTTTCTAAATTCTCGTGGACAGAGCAGTGCCAAGAGTCTTTTGAGAAATTAAAGAAAAATTTAATTTCTTCTCCGATATTAACTTTTCCTTCGGAGCAAGAGATATTTATTTTGGATACGGATGCTTCGGATCATGGAATTGGAGCAGTTTTGTCTCAGGTTCAGGGAAAATCTGAGAAAGTAATTGCTTATTTTAGTCGAGTTTTGAATAAAGCTGAAAGGAATTATTGTGTCACACGTCGAGAGTTATTGGCAGTGGTGGATTCAATGAAGTTCTTTCATCATTATTTATATGGAAGAAAATTTGTTATTCGAACAGATCATATTTCTTTAAGATGGTTAATGTTGTTTAAAGATCTTGAAGGACAATTAGCTCGTTGGTTAGAGAAACTTCAACAATATGATTTCGAAATTTGATACCGAAAGGGTAATTTACATCGGAACGCCGATGGACTCTCACGTCGACCGTGCGAATTGCTTTCTTGTAATTATTGTAAAAAAATTGAATACAAAGAATTAGAAAACAAAACCGGAATGGTTGAATTGTTTTAGGAGGAAAGCAGGAGAATTGGAGAGAGGTTCAATTGAAAGATGAAGTTGTCTCTATTTTTCTTCTAGGAAAAGAACAAGGTCGACGTCCTCCTTGGCAGGAGGCGATTTCGAAGTGTCCTTCTGCAAGAATTTATTGGAATCACTGGGATGCCTTGTTGGTTCAAGAAGGAATTCTTTATAAAAGATGGGAGTCACCATCATTAAATAATAAACATGTTTTACAGATTATTGTTTCTAAAGAAAAGATTAATGTTGTAACGAGGCGCAGCTGCACCTCGTTACTACCGGCCCGACCGACCACCTGTCGGGCCGAAGAACGGCGCTTTGCGCCACCATAAATTAGCGAAGACGATCGCGCCGCCGTTATCACGCGCCGCCGCTATCGCCCGCTGCGGCGATCACGCGCTGCCGCTAGCGCGCGCGGCCGCGATCACGCGCCGTCATCATGCCTCGCGCCGATAGGCGCGCCGCTCGATCGCCGCCGTATCAATCGTAGCGCGAACAACTATAAAACGGCGGCGATCGAGCTCCTAGACACCAGACCGATCCGTACCGCCGATTCGATCTAGACGCTTGTATGCCGAAAGAGAGAATATCCGGACCGTTTCGCTCTGCCTTCCGCTTTCCGACTACCCGACCGGCGACTAAGAACACGGGATTGTGCGTCCGCAGTCTCGATCGAGCGTTCTCGATACTTGGCCGTCTCCCGTCTTCCTGGGCTCGTGTGTACGCGTGCTCAGTCGAGCGTACACGACAGTATCTCGCCTTTACCCGCCGCCTCGAGTCAGGGGTTCGTCCGTCGGCGAACTCCGCTGAGCGTACTCAGCCTTTAGGCGATCCGTCTAGCGACCAGGAACCCGGGACGGTGTGTTCGCCGTCTCCGCTGAGTGTCCGCAGCACTTGGTCGCTTTCCTCCACGAACGTAGGGAAAAGGGAAGGTGCGTCCGCCTTCTCTGTCGAGAGTCCTCGGCCCCGACGGACGAAATCATCTCGCGTCTCCCGCGACTCGCGTGCGTGCGTTCGACCGAGAATCGAAATCTCCGGTCCGGCGACCATTTTTACGCGAGCAATTCCGAAGCGAGTATTGGGCTATAATTGTCCGAGACGCCCAGCGTCGCGAAGCGAGACCGATCACCGCTCCGTTACCGTCGTTACGATCTACACGCGTCGCGTAATAGGCCCCGCCTTCCGCACGGCCTATCCGTCTGTACGAGCGCTCGCACCGCTCACCGCACCGCACCGTACCGTACCGACGCGCCTTACAAACGCAACCCGCGACATCGCCTTCGGGGCCGAACTCTTGTATCAAATTAAATATAGAATAAAGCTAACGTACTTATATTACTCTCGAACGTCTCGCTGCTTTCCTCCTCACCGAACCCGGACTCCGACGAGCCTTATCCGCGCGAAACGCGTAGCAGCGACCGAACCGCGGAGTTCGGCCGTTACAATGTTATAATGGGAGAGGCTCATGATTCTCTTTCAGGGGGACATTTTGGTGTGAATAGGACGTTAGCTAGAATTCGTCAAGGTTTTTATTGGGCTACTTGTAAGAGGGATGTAGAAAATTGGTGCAGGAATTGTAAAATTTGTGTTGCTAGAGTAGGTCCTTCTGATAAAGGGAAATCTCCTTTACAGATTTACAATGTTGGTGCTCCGTTTGACAGATTGCAAATGGATATATTAGGTCCTTTTCCTTATAGTTCTTCAGGAAATAGGTATCTTCTTGTCATAGTTGATTGTTTTTCAAAGTGGGTAGAGGCGTTTCCACTTAAGAATATTAGAACTTCTTCGGTAGCTGAAGTTTTTGTTAGTCAAATAGTTTCCCGTCATGGGGTTCCCTTAGAAATTCACACTGATCAAGGGAAATGTTTCGAATCAAAACTCTTCCAGGAACTTGCTCAATTATTGAGAATGAAGAAAACAAGAACAACTGCTTTACATCCGCAATCAGATGGGCAAGTAGAACGGCAACATAGAACAATTTTAGATTATTTGGCAAAATTCATTTCTGTTCATCAGAAGGATTGGGATTGTTGGATTCCAATGTGTCTCTTGGCCTATCGTTCTTCTAAACATGAAACCATGGGATTTACTCCAGCAGAACTTTACTTTGCTCGGAATCTTCGTATTCCTCTTGATCTTTTACGAGGAATTTCTCCTGATGAGGAGCAATTTTCATCTGAGAAGTCTTATGTTTATAAACTGAGAAAGAGGTTGGATTCAATTCATGAGACAGCTCGTAACTCTTTGTTTATTAAATCAGAAAAGATGAAATCTTCGTATGATAAGAAGGCAAAGGATGTAGTTTTTTCAATAGGACATAAAGTTTGGTTATTTAATCCTCGTTGTATAAAACGAAAAACTCCTAAACTTCAAAGGAATTGGGAGAGTCCTTATAAAGTAATTAAGAAATTGAGTGAGGTAGTGTACTGTATTCAATTATCTTCAAAGCATAAGAAAAAGATAATTCATGCGGATAGGTTAGCATCTTTCCGAGAAAGAGAGTCAGGAAGATGATTAGGGAAAATTTACATCCGCGAACCTTTAAATGTAAGTTTATTCTGGTCAGGTATGCACTCTTTTTGTTATTTTTCAGGAAAGAATATCGCTGACAGTTATGTTCGTTGCAAGAGACTAGATGGTTCTTAAAGATAAACACTTAAAGAAGACCACCTTCCCCACGGTTTTTGACCGTGGTTTTTCCGTGGGGCATTGGGCAAATGCCGAGGTGGGGGGGGGGTGTTCTTAAAAAGAGAA